AACACGGGGAGAACTACTGTCAGACTCACAAAAAAAAGAGAAAAGAAAAAAAGCCCCTAAAAACAAAACAAGCTTTGGCCGTGATTGCAGTTGGATACACTTTTTCGAGTACTGCCCTCAGCGAGGAACACGGGGAGAACGACTGTCAGACTCACAAAAAAAGAAAAGAAGAAGAAAAGAAGAAAAAAAGCCAACAAAGCTTTGGCCGTGAAAGTGGTTGGATGCATTTCAACGGCGCTAGTGTGAGTATGCACTCAGCGAGGGCGTTTTGAGCAGAGGAATATGCGCTGCTTGCTGGCAGGGAAAGGAAGCAAAAAACAAAAGGAGAAAAAAAGTAAAAACAGCAATGTTTCTCTCTCCCCGCAATAGTGGTCAGATGCATTCTGGGAAGTGATCGTTTGAGTATGTTCCTTCAACGACATCATTGATCTCTGCCATGTTTTTTCCTTTTTTTTTTTTTTTTTTTCCCTTCAGGTCGACAGCCGGCACCGGTGCCACTTCCGAAATTCCCACTGCAGGTACCCTCACGCAGAAGGCTCGGAAAATAGCGGCGCGCAGTGGGCAAGTAGGTTCAGGATTTTAGGTGCGGGTGTACTGGTGGTTTAAGGATATAACATGTAGGTAAGGGGAGTTGGCAATATGAATCCGTAACCTTGGGAAAAGGATTGAAAGCCTGAAAGGGAGATTTAAAAAAAATAAAAACCTTGGAGTTAAACAGTAAATCGCATTGACCATTGCAATCTCTCTCTCTCTCTCTCTCTCTCTCTCTCTCTCTCTCTCTCTCTCTCTCTCTCTCTCTCTCTCTCTCTCTCTCTCTCTCTCTCTNTCTCTCTCTCTCTCTCTCTCTCTCTCTCTCTCTCTCTCTCTCTCTCTCTCTCTCTCTCTCTGTGTGTGTGTGTGTGTGTGTGTGTCTGTGTATGTCTCTCTTGCACGGGCACGTTTTGCATGTGGGAGTTGATCAACCAGTCACAACTTACATGATGATTGTTTCGAGTGTCAAACTACATTCCTTCCGGCAGTCAATCGCTTGCTTGGGGTGTGAACACTGTGAAGGCTTATAACACCTAAGGTGGCATGCGGGAGAAACCGCAAAGGGGTGGAGCAGCAGAGCATCTGTTTGCTCGATTGATCGTTTTTATCTGTCGACACGTTGACAGATACAAGATTGCTCTTCTTGACGGCACCCTGACTGACCCTTGCAGCAAAACTGTGCAACTCGTGTGCTGCCGTTTTCCCCCCCCCCAATCAAACTCATGTACTACTTCAATGAATCTTTGATCGATTTTCAATGACAGTGTCTCACAACTCTCGCTTCAGGTATGTCCATGAGTGAAGCGCGCACCGTCTTATCCCAGTCTCATTCACTCTGCCGAGAAAAAAAAATAATTATGTACTCTGTTTAATCTGTTAAAGTCTGTTTAGCAGCATTGCGCACTGCGGGTGAGAAAACTGTTATTCTTTTTTCTTCGGGTTTCCTGTTGTTCTTTTTTTTTTTTTTTTCGGGTTTTCTGGCGTTCTTTTTTTTTTTTTTTTTCACTAAGCTATACTCTTCTCTCCAGTATACCTCACACTACCTACCCTCATGCCTATATCTATCTAAGTCCAGTTGCTGGGTCTACGGGACGATTTCCTCCCCGATCTTATCCTAGTCTACCTATCCCCTCAGGGTTGAGCCTACCCTTCATGGTTGAATCTAACCCCTAGCACGGGGCGAACTATTCCCCTACCGAGTCCAGGGGTGGTGATCCGTCTATCTCAGGTGGCGAGCCCGAAGTGTGGTGCAGGAGGCCGTGGGGGTCTGAATGGATACCGTGGGGAATCAAACCCACGGCCTCCTGAATACCACTTGCGTGCTCAACCAACTGATCTAGAAGTGAACGGTCTTTGGGTTTTCTGTTGTTCTTTTTTTTGTCTGTTTTTTTTTTTTTTCTGTGGTATTGATTCATGAAGCCGTAGCGCATGTATGCGTACATCTTATTGTTTTTTCTTTCCGGATTGTGTCAAGAATCAAGAATCAGGGTGTATAAATAAATTTTGATGCCTTCAATTTGCAGAATGAGGGGGCGCATAGAACTCATCTGTATGCAATTACTGATGGGCTCGTCCAGACCAACAATCAAAAGTTAACGTCTGTTTTTCGCTTTTTTGCTTCTTTTTTAAGGGTGATGGCCTTGCGATATATTGTTGTCGAACTAACCTGCCCCAGGTAATTCATCCGGTTAGATAACTTTGATTCATTCATGGAGATCCATCTGGATTCGAACTCAGGTCTGCGTTTCAACAACAGTTCACGTGTGCACCAACTGAGCTATGCCCGTTGGTAGTTGATGTCTTTTCAAGCTCGCTTTCATCGTTTAAATTTTAAATATTTGTTACCTTGTGACAACTCTCTCAACAGTTGAAAGTTCATTACCAGTCGATATGGCAGATGGTTTTTCCGGTTTTTTTTTTGGGGTTTTTTTTTGGGGTTTTTTTTAGGGTTTTTTTTTAGGGTTTTTTTTTTGGTCCTGACTGTGCTTTGTTTACAAACATTCAAGTGTCCTATGAAACCCTTCGTTCGCAGACGAAGCATGCTGAGCTCATTTTAGTATTATCAGGCCTTTTTTTTTTTTTTTTTTTTTTTTTGGTAAACAGAACCTTATGGCTCTTGCTGCTTTTCCATTCTGGGGAGAGCATCAGTCCGGTTAATATTATTATCAGCCTATCAGGCTATTTTAATGTTTTTATATTCATGTAATAATAAAATATACTAACATCATAGTAGCATGTATATGATTTCGGAAAAAAGAAGAGAAAACAACCAACCTGAAGTAAGTTTTTGGATAGCTGATCTATCGATTGTTTTTCACTGAAGCAGGCACCCAGATTCATAGTGAGTATGGGAATGGGGTAGCTGGCTTTGCTGAGAGAAATGGACTGCTCAGCAATGGCAAGATGGACACAGCAGTGGCGTGTGCATCACCAATCAAAGATCTGTTCTGCCGTCACCCTTCATGGCAGCAAAAGTCGAGAGAGCTGACCCGAGGAGGGGATATACTGAGTCCAAAGCAAAAAGGTGGTTCTCCCACACCACGACAAGTCGAAGTGGACGTGTCGCAAAATGAGGGTTCTCTGCAGGTGGTGCCAAATGAGGGCTCTCCACGGAGATCGTACGATGCCCTCGAGAGAGAAATGCAGTCGCTACGCGCTGAGAATGAAGAACTGGAGAACGCACTACGTGCTGCGAACAGCAACAGTGCACAGCTTGCGGAGTTGCAGCAGTATGTGCAGTTTGTGGAGGAAAGGTATGAGGAGTTGTTGGAGCTGTACAGAACCAGTGAGGAGCGAGTTAATGAATTGAAGGACTCTTTGGAGGAGGAAGAAGCAATAAGGGAAGCCATGGAGGAGGATATTGCGATTGCGAAGCAGGGGATGAATCATGAAGAGCAGGTCAGGGAGCTGCAAGTGAAGCTGTTAAGGAGTGAAAGAGAGAGGCGGGAGTTGGAGATCCTCTTGAAGGAGGCGGAGGGACGCACGCCGAGTACTGTTGCCGAAGATCAAGTAGTTGATACAGCAGACGATCTCATGAGGGAAGAATATCAGCAGAAGATCAAAGAACTCGAAGATGAGGCAACGACGCTAACCTATGAGAACGTGGACCAGGCAAGACGTGTTGCCAGACTTGTTCAGGAGCTCGCTGAAAAGGACAGTGTGATCTCTGAGCTGATGGCCATGGTTGATGCATCCCAGTCTCTAGTTGTGGCGCGGGAACTGCCAGAGAATGGTGTTAGGGAGACGGGTACGGACCGAATGGAAGATTGGCAAAGCGAGAGAGCTGCACTTGAGGCCCAGATTGCACAGCTGGCTGAGGAGAAGGAGCAGTCCATCGCGACTGTGAGATCAGAGACTGCAGCAGAGATGGAGAGGTTGACTCTGGAGATAGAGGAGAGAATGGCAGAGGTGAGGGAGGCTCGAATGCAAGCGGACATGACTATCAGTGGCTTGCAACACCAGATTGAGAGCATGCAGACTGAGCTAGCTGAAGAGAGGTGCTTGAGGAAGAATGCTGAGATGAGAATTGGAGACGGTGAACTCCGACCAAAAGAAGATTGTTCAGCAATATGCCAGTTTAGAGTGGAAGCAAGCCTGGGTGTTGCGAACACAAATCTTCCATCAGGGAATCTAGTAGGTGACTCTTCTTCGATGGTGAGCAATGGTGGTCCAATTGACGGTTGCGATTGCATGGAAGAATTTGTGCCTGAAGTGAAAGATCCGAACCCCGAGGTGAGACGCTTGACCATTCTCAATGTGAAGCTAATGGAAGAAGCAAACTCGAGGGAATCTTCCGGCATGGATTCGACGAGAGTCGACGATAAGCAGGGTACGGAGGAAGAACGAGAAGAAGAAGAAGAGGAAAAGTCTATGGATAAGCCCAGTGTTGCACCTGGGAGTGTCACTTGTGCCCCACTTCTGAAGCCACCCATTGATGTGAATGTACAGTGTGTAGAGGCAGACAAAGAGTCTGCGGATAAGCCCAGTGTTGGGCCTGGGGAAAATGTCACTTGCGCCCCACTTCTTGGTCCACCCACTGTTGCGAGTGTACAGTATGTAGAAGCAGAGGCATTGGGGCAGGTTGCAATTGCCGGATCCAGAGAGGAGGACCAGTGTCCTAAGGAATGTTGTGTCTCAGATATCATGACTACACAGGCCTCAGTAGAGGCAAATCTGAAAAATCTTGAGATTCTGCCAGGTCTCCTTGCAAAGGAAGCGACAGAAGCAAACATGGATGCGGAAAGAGAGGTACTACTCTCCGCGGACCAGGCTGTGAGCGACAGTTTGGAAAAATTATCAGTTGAAGTGCCCCGTCTGGAGGACATCATAGCTCGATTGGAGTCCGAGGTCCAGAGCAGGGACACTAGCGATGATGACCTGTCAGTGGACGTTCAACAGTTGGTGGACATCATAGCTCGATTGGAGTGCGAGGTCCAGAAGAGGGAGACCAGCGTTGATGACCTGACAATTGCCCTTAGAAGACAGGAGGAGGGGTGGAGGCAAGCAGAGGAGGAGAACAATACTCTCCGAGTAACACTGCAGGAGTTGGGGATAAGGTTGCAGGAGGAGTTTGAAAAACGCTCGGCTGCAGTCGAGGAGCTGGATCGGAATCGGGAACGGATGGAGAAAGAACTAGAGAAGGCTAAGAGTTGTACATTGTTTGCAAATGCATCCCTGGAGAAAATCTCTGACAAGGTGGCAGAACTTGAAGAAGCTTTCATTGTGAAAGAGAGGGCGATTGCCGAACTGGAAGCACAAAAGGCAAAGTTAGAGAGTGAGCTGCAGCAAGAGGATGAACAGTCGTCTGATGCAGATGAGGTGATCAATCCCAGTCCACAGAAAATACAGAAACCTGCACAAGTGTTCGAAACTCCAATGGAGGTTCTGAATGCATCCATTAAAAAGCTATCTGATGACGTTGCAAGGCTTACTGAGACGCTGCACCTCAAGGAGAATGTGATATGTCAGTTGCAGGAGGACAAGATGAGGTTGGAGGAGGACCTCTGCGCATTTCAGCTGCACAGTACACAAAAGCATGATATGGAGAGGGATGAGGAATCTTGTAGCGATGTGACTGAAGACATGGCACAGACGACGTCAGCACCGAATGAATTCTTGTCGGAACACATCGCAGACGCCAATGTGCTCCATGGCATGCAGATGGAGACCACAGGCGAAGAGCGACTGGAACCACCATGCGCAGTGAGGGTCGAAGCCGAGGCTCTGGGATCAGCATTACTGTCAGAAACAAAGCCAGCTGATGTGCGCGACACTGTCACAGCTGAAACTGGTGATAACAGTGCGGGAAGCGAGGAGCTATCACCAACGCTGTCGATTGCTGAACAAGACTCACTACGTCTCTTGGAGAGAACGATGGACCTAACTTCCCACCGCAAGCTAGAGGAGAATCTTGCGTCGTCAGTCCTGCCAGCCAGAGATGATGATGCGTTGACGAGGAGCAAGGAGCTTGAGTTGAAACTCCGGATGGTGCAAGCAGAGAAGCAGGAAGTTCTGCAGCGTCTCTGTCAATTACAGGAACAACTTATGTCTGTCCAAGGAGGGGAATCCATGCAGAGAAGTGTGGAGCCGCAGATTGAAAAATTGGAGGACCAGCTCAGAACAAGCGAGACGGAAAAGAATCATGCTAGGATTTGTGTCAAGGAACTGGAGACGAAGCTGCAGGTATCGGAAGCGGAAAAGCAGGAGGCCTTGCATAGAACAGCAGATGATGACCTTCTTCAAGCAGCGAGGGATCAGTTGACGTCTGTTTCGGCAGCTAGAGACTCCGCACTTGTGCGTGTTAAGGAGCTTGAGTCGGAGCTAGTGGAAGTGAAAGCTGAAAAACAGGAGGCCCTGCAGCGGACTGCAGCATCCCAGATCAGGATGGAAGAGGTGGAGCTCTTGCTGGCGCAGAGACACGAGACCATGATGATGTGGGCTGAGGAACTTGAGGCAAAACCGTTGGCCGATATGCCCGAAAACGAGGAAAAACCCGTGCATACACCTGTGGAGGAGTCTCCCTTTGTTAGGAATGATGCTCTCGCAGTTAACTGTGATCTGCCTCCTGTTGAACCGACAGCAGTCGAAGAAGAAAAGCAGGACCATCTGCAGAGAAACGCAGAGCCCCTGCCTGGAGAATCAGAGGAGAAACGCGCATTAACCGAGGCAGAAGGGGATTGTGCCCAGAATGTACACGTTGATCAAGAAATAAAAGTGACGCTCTTAACATCCGAAGCAGGAAGCCACAAGAAATCTATAGAGGAAGCTGAATTGTCTGGGAACAGAGGATTGAATGCGGAATCTACCTTTGTTGAAGCAGGCGCAGATGGTGCTCCGACGAGGAGCTCCGAGTCCCAATCAAAGCCATTCATAACCGAACCCGAGGAGAAAGATTCTCTACATAGTAATGCGGGGACCCAGGTATGCGGATTTGCAACAGGCAATAACTCCACAGTGGTCTGTAATTCAGGGCATGGGTCCGAAAACCCGAGTGCTGCTTGGCAGAGTATTGTTCAAGCAAAGATCAAAGCACTGGTAGAGGGGCTTGGTCTGGCCACAGCCGCTATCGATGGCTCCGTGATGCACAACACAGTGTTTGAACCGTTCAAGGGGAAAGAACTGAAGGCTGTTATGAAGATCGTGAAGGAACTCGAGGCCATTGTGCAAATGGTGGTGTCGAAGGATGATTCCTGCCTCTTCTGTAGCTGGGGAGATGAACCGGATGTGCCGATTGTTGACTCCAGAAATGACAAGGTTGTACCAAGGATTGTGAAGGTTGAACTCAAAGTACTGGGTGAGGATTTTACTGTGGACAGTGGTGTAGCCGACACTCCTGTGATGCACAGCACAGAATCCAAGTTGAAGTTCATTGAGCTTGGAGCAGAAGAGCCCCAAGGAGACATTGAAGGCAAGATGAACTTTGGCAAAGCAGAGGGTGATGATGATGGGCTTGTGGGCGGCGACAGGGCAACGAGCCAGAGGTCAAATCTGCAGATGCTTTCAGCACGAGACGAACTAGATCTGCCACAGGTTACAGAGAAGTGCCCTCAGACGTTGGACGAACAACTGGCTATGGCGGTGTTTGCGAGACGTGCTGCACTTGACCACCAAAGAGAGCTGGAGCTGAAGCTGGCTGCAGTTGAAGCAGAAAAACAAGAGGCCATGCGAAAGGTTGTTGAGGCAGAGAATGTGGCGAAAGAACTGATGGAGGATGCGCTAAGGCGCAGCAAGGAGCTGGAGTCGAAGTTGTTTGCAGTGGAAGCGGAAAAGAAGGCAGCCATGCAGGAGGTAGAAAATGTGCGGGCTCAGCTATCCGAACTAGAGAAGAGAATCGAACACCAGATCAGCGAGAACGATGCACTACAGGGGCGCTTGTCTGCATCGGAAGTTGAGAAGGAAGATCTGGAAAAAAGAATTGTGGCAGCAGAGGAGGATAGCAGGCAAACTTCTGAAGAGGTGTCGAAGCTGATGAATGATCTAGCTACTGTCAAACATGATGCTGACGAGGAGAATCGTTTCAACCAAGCTGAAATTGTTCGACTTAATGCCATACTGGAATCGACAAGGCGGGAGCTCGCAGCTATGGATGCCGAAAAGGAGGAACTCGAGATTGACAATTCTGAACTCAGTTCGTTGAAAAGCAACCTCTGTGATAAGCTGACATCTGCTAAGACGGAAATGGCGGTGTACAAGCAAACGATCAGTAATCTCGAGCTTGAGCTCAGTCGATTACGGGAGGCAGCAGAGCAGGAAAGGCTTGCGCGTGCAGCCGAGGAGGCTGTATTATCTTCCTTACACGAAGAGAAAACAGTGCTTGAGGAGAGGGTGCAGCAGGCGGAAGAGGCACGTGCAAAGATGGAAGAGGAACTTCGCTTGAATATGGAGAAACTACGGTCTAAAGTGCAGAGCCTTACAGAGAAGCTCTCCATGAGTGATAGTCAAAAGCAAGCACTTGAATCACAGGCGTCCAATCTCGCCGCCGACAATGAGGAATTAAAGGAGCAGTTGAAGCACGTGGAAGAGGCGGCATTAGCCGGAACACATGAGAGTGACAGCATCATCCGAGAACTCGAGAAAACAACAGCATATCTGGAAGATGAGTTGAAGTTGCAGAGAACAGCAAGAGAGGAGATAGAATCGAGAAACAAAGAAGTGGAGGCGGAGCTGAGAGATGCGAACGAACGGGAGGTGAGCACAGCGCTTGTCCTTTCGAACCTGCGAATGGAAAAGGAGAATCTGGCAGACATGATGAGGGAGCTGGAAAGCAAGAACAAGTCCTTGATATGTGCCAAGGAAATGCTAGAAAGCAAGAGGGACGAGTTAACCGAAAAACTTCTCAGGGCGGAACAATGCCTGGATGAATCAAGGAGGGAGGCTGCACTCCTGACCACCAAGATGCGCAAAGCTGAGTCTGCTGCGGATGACGTTCAAGAGGTCCAAACTGCCATGCAAAAGAAGATGGTGAAACAAATACGTGCTCTAGAGGAAGAGTGTGAGAGTCTTCTTGCTGATAAAAACCGGTTGGAACAAGGGCTGCTGCAGAAACAAGAGGAGCTCTGGCAACGATCAACCGAGCAGCAGAATGAACTTGAGCGCCTTCGAAAAGAGAATCAGGAACTCTCTGAGGCCAATGCTGCTCTGCAGAGGGCTGGAAGTGCAACACGTTCTCCGTCCCATGAGAAGACAGAGCTTCGGCAGATGGTGATGGTGCTGCAGACTGAGCTCCGCATGAAGGTAACAATACTCCACCAGTTGGTTCAGAAAAGGAATGATGACAGTACCTCTCGGAGTCTGGAGAACTCTGGGATCCCGTCTGCAACAAGCGACTCTGGTGAGGGAGCAGTCATCGACAAGAGTATCAACTTGCTGGAGGTGAGCAGATATGAACTCTCCCAAGCTTGTGTTTTCCATCAATATTCTTTTTTTCTGTTTAGCCTGGAACAGGGTACATTAATGCGATTTCAGATTAATGTTTTGCCATGCTTTGATCGAAGCTCAATCACTGACAATCATGATGGAAAACTCAAATTTGAGAAAAGCACATGAGTCGCAAGTCAAAACATTGAGAGTAAGAGAAGGAGAGAAGAGAAAGGAACGAAAAAGAAGAAGAAGAAAGAAGAAGAAAGAAGAAGAAAGAAGTAGAAAGAAGAAGAAATAAGAAGAAAGAAGAAGAAGGAGAATTCAATGTTATCTCTTCCTTATCTGCCTCCTCATCATCACTGTAGAACTATCTTCCTTCTATAATAAAAAACAACACATTTGAATCAAGAGTCTGTGTCCTGCAAGGAACCCGACTGATTTCAACACCAAGGCGCACTTGCCAAACACTGAAAACATTCACCCCAAGCATGGCGATGGCAAGTCAGCACACATGAAGATGAAATCCTCTTCAAACACCTTGGTATTATACAAGAATTGAGTTCAGATACAAGGAGTTAATGTCCCCTATCTCCAGCATCCTGAAACAGGTAATCC